TAAATTGTGATTGTCAGAGCGAATGTGAAATAAAATTCCCTACATCCAGTACGGCATGAAGTTATTTGTCGCGTTATACACCCAACACGTGACTATATATATATATATATAATAATGTATATAATTTAACACCTATTGTAATAGTAGTTTCTGGAAAAAGTATTGATGCCCTCTGAGGATGATCCGTAGGGATCGAAACATGTAAGGGTGATGAGTTTTCAAGTGATAAAACTTAAATAGTCACATTGGACGGTGCTGCTTTTGTCTTTGTAACTTGATAGTTACCTTCAACACATCAAAATATTTCAGACTCTCCAAGTCTTTATTTTTCCATTTCTCTAAGCTATATTAATAATAAATGACGCACACCTTCTGAAGCCCTACTGACATAAGCAGCTTCAGAACTCAAATATTAAATGAGGCTAATGCTGTTCACTTCTCGTATTTTTTCTTAATACGTAGGTCGTACCGAAAGTCATGAGCAACTTTTTTTGCATGCAACCTGGGAACAGCAGACGAAAGAGTGTACGGTGGTAGGTGGAACCAGCTGTTGTGTTAACCTTGAGTGTCTTGTGATGTCAACAGCTTGCATCATGTAACCAGTATCACTCCTAACAAAATGGCCAACAACCATATGTCGTTTCACCAGCATGCTGTCATTGAATTTCTTGTGAAAGAGGAAATCCCTGCTGCAGAAATTCACCAGAGACTTCAGTGTGCTTATGGAAGTGTGTGCATGGGTGCGAGCAGTGTTCGAAGATGGGTGAAACATTTTAAAGATGGGAACACCAGCATCGAAGATGAGCCTCGGAGCGGTCGTCCTCGAACAGCCTCAACTGAACGCAACAAGGAAAGAGTGGATGAGATCATTCAAGGAGGCGTGTGATTGTGGACACAACAGCCTGAAAACTTGGAATAGGGCACACTGCAGTACAGGAGATGATTGAAAGCTTGGGCTATAGGAAAGTTTGTGCTCGTTCGGTCCCACGGTTATTGACCGAAGACCACAAATGTCAGCGAAAAGCCATCACCTCAGAACTGCTGCAGAGATATCAACATGAAGGAGATGATTTTTTGCTCTGTATTGTGACAGGTGACAAAAGCTGGTTTCACCATTTCGAGCCTGAAATGAAATGGCAGAGTATGGAATGGCACCATTTGCATTCTCCATCAAAAAAGAAGGCAAAGACAGTGCCATCAGCTGCGAAGGTGATCGGCACAGTCTTCTGGGATGCAGAGGGGTTTATTCTGGCTGAATTCCTGGAACCTGGGCAAACCATCAATGCTGCTCGTTATGTCCAGACGCTGCACAAGCTCCGTCGTGCATTGCGCGATAAACGTCCGGGACAAAACATCATCATCCTGCATGACAACGCTCGCCCCCACGCCGCTCGCCTCACACTAGAAGCAATTGCAAAGATGGGGTGGGAAGTTCTTCCACACCCCTCTTGTAACCCTGATCTGGCACACTCCGACTACCATCTTTTCGGATTTGTGAAGGATCAGCTGCATGGACAAAGTTTTGAGACAAGGGAGGCAATTCAGAAAGCAGTGCGTCAGTGTCTTCGGATGGCTGGAACGGAATTTTACAGAAGGGGAATTTTCAAACTCCCAGAACGCTAGGAGAAATGTGTACAAAGAAGTGGCGATTATGTGGAAAAATAAAGAAAGGTCTGTAGATTGAGGTGGTGTATTTGGTTTGTCAATAATAAAGCATGTTACTTTACAAAAAATTGTTGCTCATGACTTTCAGTATGACCCTCGTATTATGCAACCAATTTCTCTAACAATTTAACATGTAAAATTATACTCTGAAAAGTAGTATTTGCATGAAGACTGCTATCTTCTGGGATATAATGCTGTGTGGTCTGGAAGAAGTTAACCAGCATGTCAGAAGAATATACTGCCTCCATCTTCAGGATTGAAGAGTAAGCTCAAAAAGCAACAAGCATAAAGTGAGCAGACCTCCACTTGCTGCTTCCTGCTTGCTTGAATTACTCTTTTCACTCTGATGATGGAGGCATACATTCTTAAAAAATGTTGGTAACCTTTTACCCAAGTACAAGGCATCACCTCTCAGTCACCACTGTGAGAATATAAAACGTAATACAATATCCACATATTTTACACACAACTTTCAAACACAAATATATGATTAAAGGAGTGCATAAATTATGTGACTGGAAAGAGTACTTCATTCTTATTAGGTTCAAACATTTTTTTGAACACTCAGTTTTCAAACACATATATAAATTAGGGTCTTAACTCAAAGAGACAGCAAATGACTAAAAACACTACTACTCCATAAAGTGACCACCACACAATAAACATACTAGAAAGCTCAGATCTTTGTTATAAAATAGCTCCAGTTACATTGCTATAAAGCATTAACAATCACTTAAAGTTAACACAAAATACCACAATCAAATTTACAAATCCAGATTACTCATAAGTAATGCCTAACAGAATTTTGTGAATATGATCAATAATTATTAAATTCACAGTGTTTTCAATACCAAAACCCATGCTTCATTTTTAATTAAAGAAACAGTTCCTTGGAGTAGAATGATTCAGTACCAGCTGATGTCCTCATGGTGCAGACAATGTCAGGGAGGACATACACAGAACTGAAATAAATAAAATCCGATAAAATACGTTAATCCTATCTTAAAATCAAGTGAAATATAACAGAAGACCGTTACAAGTATACCTTGATTCATACAGTAGTAGCATTCATGATGTTAATCAAACCAGAGAATGAATATTATATTTAAGAATCCTGTTGCACTCCATAGATAAATTATATAATGATACAAATTCCGTCCCAAGTGCAAACAATATTTTATGTGTCCTTGATCTTGTTCCTCTACACTACATGTTTCGGCCTCAGACGGCCATCATCAGGTGTATAACACTCACGTTGCTGTCACACTGCACTCAGCCCAAAATTTAACATTTAAAACACTTTCCTTGTTATTATCTACATCTACTTCGTTGATATCTGTCTGGTTTGTAGATTATTTTACACACGTTAATTTTGACGTACCTGTAGTAGCACTATAAAATCTTTAGTTCTCATTTTAAAATCCTTTAAAATTTTTCTCTAAATTTAAAATTTAAAAGTGTTAGGGTTACTCGCCCTATGTCTAAAGTGCTGCAGCGGCTAGTTCTTGTTTCCACACTGTATAGGTGTTTTCCTGTGCAGTCTTCCTGTGTGCGTGCCGCTGTTATTCTTTACTACTACACACGTAGTAAAGAATAACAGCGGCACGCACACAGGAAGACTGCACAGGAAAACACCTATACAGTGTGGAAACAAGAACTAGCCGCTGCAGCACTTTAGACATAGGGCGAGTAACCCTAACACTTTTAAATTTTAAATTTAGAGAAAAATTTTAAAGGATTTTAAAATTAGAACTAAAGATTTTATAGTGCTACTACAGGTACGTCAAAATTAACGTGTGTAAAATAATCTACAAACCAGACAGATATCAACGAAGTAGATGTAGATAATAACAAGGAAAGTGTTTTAAATGTTAAATTTTGGGCTGAGTGCAGTGTGACAGCAACGTGAGTGTTATACACCTGATGATGGCCGTCTGAGGCCGAAACATGTAGTGTAGAGGAACAAGATCAAGGACACATAAAATATTGTTTGCACTTGGGACGGAATTTGTATCATTATATCATTTACCAGAGAATGAATTCTAAAAAAATTGAGGTTATGTTCCTGATCAGAGTATCACAAGTATTTATTTATTACAATATCAGCATTCACTTAAAATGTGCTTAAGATTAACTGATTATTTAACCATACGGTGTAAAGTACTCCTTGAGAAATTCAGTTGCTCAGCTGCTCATGAAATTTCCTTACCTTTAATGCAACCCAAATTTTCACTACCATCTTCATGCAAGCAAATCAATGGCCCCTGCCCTGAGCCACATGAATCAAGTCCTCACCTTCCTACCCTATTTCTTTCATAACATTTCTAACAAGAGTATTATTTTCCCACCAATGCCAAGATCTTCTAAATGGTATCCTCCCTTCAGGTTTCGGACAAAATATTTACATGTACTTCTTATCTCTCCCATGTGTGCTAGATGCTCAGCCAATCTCATCTTCCTTCATTTAATCACATTAATAATTTTGGGTAAAAAGAGTAAATTATAAAGTTCCTTATTATGCAATTTTCTCCATTCTTCTCTCAGGTTCAAATATTCCCCTCAGCAGCACTGTTCTCAGACCTTCTGAGTTTACATTCTTCCCTTGACCCTTCACACACCACAAACTGACTAGATAGGCTTGGCATATTTATGTTAAAATTGCCACAGCCAAATAGATTGGCTTGATGATAATCACTTAGTACTTGGATAGCAGACAGGAAGACAAACTATTCTGAGCTGAATAATAGCAAGTATTCTCTATATTTAAACTGTTCTTAATTTCATCATGAATGCTATTTTGATATATTACCCTCATCCCCAAATATCTGAACTTTGCCACATTTTCAAAGGACTGTTTGCTACCTTCGTATCATGATCTGTCCTGTATTCTGGTGATGAGACATGCTTCCACTCTGTTAGTTCTATGAAACCCTCCTTACTTAAAAGATTACTTTTAGGACTTCAATTATAGTGGTTAAATGGAAAAGGAGAGAGGAGAGGGTTGACAACAGAGACTTTCTGTAATTTGTTTGGTTGATAGGGAATGTACATTTTTATACCTCAGAAGATCCCTTGTCCTTCTTTCAACCCTTTATTATGAAATGAAAAAATAACATACATGGGGAATGCGAAACATAAGAAGGCAAACCATACAGTTCAAAACCCTGGAAAAATTAGACCAAAATAAGGTCATGTTTTAACAAATTCCTGATATAGCCTTATGTAGGGCGTGGAGAGGTTATTCAATTTGACCATATGGACCAAAATCAAGTTTCACTGGTAAAGTTTAGCAAACGCCACCACTAGCATTAAATGTCTTGAAAATCTGTGTGCAAACAGAACAGGTATTTTTCATGTGTACATTCTGAAAGTGATAACACACATAATTCTCACTGTTCACTATTCCTATCGAAAACCAAATTTGAAATACAAACCTGTACAGGAAAACAGGCAGAAACAGAAATATAAGAAAAAATGTAATAGAAACTATGATCTTGTGGCCAATTCTTCCAGTGTAAATGGAGTAACTTGGTACAAGAAGCAGCGGTTACACACACGTACAGGTTTTACGTGGCCATATCGAGGCAGTGGGACGGAATTGGAACTACACCGTGCACAGAAAACCTGTAATCACACACATCATTATTGTTCAATTGTGAGGCTAAGAATATGTGCACATGAAGGGGGAAAAATTATGTACCATACTGGAAATGGTGCACCAATATTTTTCATTTGCATTTACCTACACACTGGACAAAACACATATCATGGATCATATAAATTTACTAAGGGCATAATTATACTCCCTCTCTTCTTTGAATTATCATTTTCAGATCTATCGCCAGACTTAGCCCAACAAATGCAGAATTCAAGAACAAATCCAATGACAGAGTCAGTCTGGTAACCCCTCAAGAAAAGCATAAAGAAGGAAGATAAGATATTCACAGTTTGTCATGTTATAATGAACAAAAAAACCTTCTGAGCAATATTTATTTTGGTTCATATTTTATATGAAGCTCAAATTAAACTCTTCTCAAAAATAGTTAACTGTACATAAAACACCTTGTGTGATATAAAATATAAACCTCAAGGGCTACAATACTAAGCTGATTAACTACAGTAATATAAATGTCTCTATGTTCTGCAGAAATTACATTATTTGCCTACAAAATCTTGGCAATTGATTTAAATACTCTGCCTCTGAGAAATACATAATTCCGTAACCATCACCAAAGGAGGCACAAAGAACAGCCACCATTAGTGTTTATGAGAAAACATAATTTGCTGTCACGCCTATGCTTCCATCCTTCTATAAAGAATCAGTCGAAGGAGCTTACTTTTCCGCAGTTTCTACAGTGATGGCGCCTCCTAACAACAGTAAACACAGCTTCACAAGACATGCAGCGTGGAGCCATGTCGTCTGGAATCCATGGTGGTGGGGATTCCACTTCCACTGGACTTGCTGGAGTCTCCCATCCTGTTGAGAGCGCTTCTTCCGCACTTTCCACAGGGCGAGAGAAATCTAAATATAAGAGGAGGAAGGTTCATGTAAATTTCTGTACGTTCAAGAATCATAATAAATACAACACAACATGTACAGTATAAACACAACATACACCCATAAGGGCACCCTGAACATGAAAGTCCTACACTAAGTAGAAATACATGAAGTGCTTCATTAAGGGACAGTCACAGAAAAGAACTAGGAAACTATCATGGTCAAACAGGAACCAGGATTGTTTTAAAAAAAATCATATAAGGGAGCATTTATTTAAACTGAGGGAAGAGACAATTCTGTTCTGTTCACTTGCGCTCAGTTTTAGTAATGCTACATGTTGATATAGACAGGGAAGTTTGGGTCCAACGTCACATCAGATCCTGATCATGCAGGCAGACATGGCTCCCAAAATGGCAGTCATTTCTAACCAACTGACACAGCTGACTGCCTAAGATTTTGTTAACTTTCATTGCTGTAAAAACTACAGATTTGGCATAAAATTCATTTCCATTTAACAAAATACAAGGTGTGGCAATAAAGAACCCGGATTACTTTTATGACTCATTTCCGGCCACGTCATTGACGAAGAGGAGGGTAGGGCATTGACCCTTGGACTTCCCTCTACCGTCACACAAAGTTTCATTCACGTGCATCGGTTAGTCTGGCCGCGACCATTGTTAGAAGCGGATCGTGTTTCTGAGCTCCGTCGGAATAATGCTGAGTGCTAATGCAGAACAACGTGCTAACATCAAATTCCTCACAAAACTTGGAAAATCTGCCACTGAAACTTACAATTTGTTGA